ATCTAAATTCCTAATCTGAGCTGTGGTGTTGATCGAAGTAGACGTCGCCTGCTGAGGTTGCATTCAGGACCACTGAGGTGTTCACTGACTTGTCTGACTTGTCAAGCGACTGAACACACCTCTGTAGCATCTTGTACCACTTTCACTTTTACTTTCGACTTAGACCTCGACTAGTTATGTAATTATGGAAGCTAGATATGAGTCGGAAATGTTGTGAAATCAATAGAAATAATTGTATTATTTTTGTTAAAACAAGGTCAAAGACGTTCAATATCAAAGCACGTGAGGTTTATAGTACTTAAATCAAATAACCTATCTTTACTCCACTAATTTATTGGTTTTCTTGGCCATAATTTGAAAGCATTACACTGGAAAACTGTCTCTGTTGCCACCACAGTGCAATACTGGAGCTGAGCTACGTTGTGTTTGTGGTTCACAGTGCGTTAAAAAGAAGACATTTAACTACAACATATTGATTCTTGCAATAATAAAAAGTTTACAGTGACAGTTGGAAATTAAGAGTTGAGTTTTAAAAATGCCAAATGTCAAACACAACAAGTTCCATCCACAATTAATTCCATCACCTTCAGAAAATCTTCAGAATAAATCTGCATGATTATTCACTAGAAGGAATCTGCAGAGCTACGTTTTAGTAAGCAGTTTTGTAGCTTAAAACGTCCATACTCTGTCTAAAAACACTAAGTTTCATCTCATTTCTTACCTGTGGCATTGTTTAGCTCTTCCTGTTGACGCTCTACGATCACTCTCCTTTGCTGCGCTCACACCAGCTCTTCAAATTTCGAGTGCTGATCACATAATCTGAGCAGGTTAGACGTGAAAATGATTGACACCGTGTGGCTCAACTGGTATGCAGTCAGCGCAGTTCAGGCATCTGCGTTTTTCTTGTTCACACCATCAAATTGTTGCTGTTGTTGGAATGAAAACAGATTTTTTTTTTGCAGCTAAATGCATGTCCAGCAGATAACAAATCTGATGTCTTTACAGTATGCACACAGTGAATGCACCGTCTCACATCTCCACGTGATGTGGGAACGTGATGCTCAGTGGTGTACAGACTGAAACAGTTTAACTGCAGCTGAATGTTCACAGGTCAAACCAGTTTTTCTGACAGTTTAATGCATGTGGACAGAACAGTTGGTACCCCTCGGTTAATGAAAGAAAAATTCCACAACGGTCACAGAATTAACTTGAATCTGACAAAATTAATAATAAATAAAAATTCTATGAAAATTAACCAATGAAATCAGACATTGCTTTTGAATTGTGGTTCAACAGAATTATTTTAAAAAATAAACTCATGAAACAGGCCTGGGCAAAAATGATGGTACTCCTAGAAAAGACTGAACATAATGTGACCATAGGGACATGTTCAATCAAGGTGTGTCCTCTAATTGACATCACAGGTGTCTACAAACTTCTAATCAGTCAGTCGGCCTATTTGTAGGGTTACAAGTAGTCACTGTGCTGTTTGGTGACATGGTGTGTACCACACTAAACATGGACCAGAGGAAGCCAAGGAGAGAGTTGTCTCAGGAGATTAGAAAGAAAATGATAGACAAGCATGTTAAAGGTAAAGACTATAAGAGCATCTCCAAGGAGCTGGATGTTCCTGTGACTACAGCTGCACAGATTATTCAGAAGATTAAGATCCATAGGACAGTAGCCGACCTCCCTGGATGTGGAGGAGGAACATTGATGACAAATCGAGTAGACGTATCATACGAATGGTAACAAAAGAGCCCAGAACAACCTCTAAAGACATTAAAGGTGAACTCCAAGGTCAAGGTCCATCAGGGTCAGATCCCACCATCCATCATTGTTTGAGCCAAAGTGGACTTCATGGGAGACGACCGAGGAGGACACCGTTGTTGAAAACACATCATAATAAAAAAGCCAGACTGGAATTTACCAAACTGCATGTTGACCAGCCACAAAGCTTCTGGGAGAACGTCCTCTGGACAGACGAGACAAAACTGGAACTTTTTGGCATCAGCTCTATGTTCACAGAGAGGAAAACACTGGACTGTTCTGAAGTGGCCTTCTATGAGCCCTGATCTAAATCCTATTGAACATCTGTGGAAGAAGCTGAAACATGCCGTCTGGAGAAGGCAGCCTTCAAACCTGAGACACCTGGAGCAGTCTGCTCATGAGGAGTGGACCAGAACACCTGCTGAGAGGAGCACAAGTCTCACTGACAGTTACAGAAATGGTTTTAATGCAGTGATTGGCTCAAAAGGTTTAGCAACAAAATACTAAGTTTTTAACATTTTTGTCCAGGCCTGTTTCATGAGTTTATTTTTTTTTAAAAATAATTCTTTTGAACCACGGTTCAAAAGCAATGTCTGATTTTCATTGGTTAATTTTCATAGAATTTTTATTTATTATTACTTTTG